GCCATGTGTCCCCACAGTGTCTTGCTCAAGGAAGAATGCTGGTTAGATGCGAATGAATGAATGTGAATAGCTAGTCGTATTGGCTTTACAATACAAATTGGCTAAGTGCTTTACAGATGTCTCATTTACTGCTCGCCATGCCTTCTGGGGAAGGTGCTGTTATTAGCAGCCTGTTTTATGGATGAGGAAACCAGAGGCTTGGGGACATTAGACATCCACCAAGCATCCTGGTAATCAGACCCCGGAGCCAGTTCCCGTATGCTCTTACCGGATGGGCCATCTCAGTCAACCCCCTCCATGAGGGGCCCTGCCCCCAAACCTCTGAAATTTGAGTAGGGACAAAGCTCAGAAGTGCAGGGCCTCCTGGGAAAAGGAAGGCAATAACCCTGCCACCTGCCACACCATTCAGATACCCTGGGCCTTCTCATTTGCTCCTGGATGACCTGACCCAGGAAGAGGAATGATCTGGGGAGGAGGGTATTTGGGCCAAAGACAAGACAATACAGAGGGCCAGGCTCTGGCCATTGGGATGTTGGCTCTCCTTAAAGAATGGGGGTTGGAAGCTGGGGGAGCCTCTTGATGAAATCCTCCCCAACTCTACTATGCTCCGTCCTTAAAGATACCCAACACCTGACCAGTAATCTAACATACCTGCACTAACAAGGAGCTCCCTGCCACTCCAGCCAGGACAAGGTCTCAGCAAGCTTCTCCCTCCCTTAGCTGAAATCTACCTCCTTGGTGAGATCAAGAGGAGTCTACTCTCTCCCAGAGAAACCAACAGGCCCAGATGGAGGGCATCTCCTTGACTTTGTCAGTGCCACCAACACCCTACTTCCCTCGCAGACAGAACCCGTAGACAGAACTCCAGCTCCTATGGCTTCATAATGCCCCCCTCCCCCTCTCCTTCTGCCCCTCCAAAGCTCTCCAGACACAGGGTAACATGCTCTTTACTTTGGAATGCCCTCTGCTTGTGTTTCCTGATCTCCTCAGTCCCCAGACAAGGCAGAGTGGGAAGGTTTCCAATTTCATTCTGGAGGACCAGAGAGGCAGTGACTGGCCCATAGGCCCCTAGGGAAGGGGTGACTTGCAGGACCCAGCTCATCTGGTCCCCAGCCAGGACCACACAGTCTCCTCCCCGAATGCCAGGTGGAAACACTCCACAGACATCTTTCCCCCTCGGCCCCACAGGGAAGCAGGAAGGATAGAGACACCAGCAGCACCTGGACAGGGAAAACTTGACTATTGCTGTGAGGTTAGCATCCTGGGAACTGCAAGGCTTGTGACTTCTGGAGAAAGAGAATACGTTCTCAATAATCCAGACGTTGCCGTGGCTTCAAAAGAGGATGTGTCCTGGCTTCTGAGCCAGGTCAGCAAGAGAAAGTCGTGTGTACGCGTGTGCACACGCCCACACGTGCATGCACAAGTATGTGCTCCTGCACGTGTGTAGGTGTAGGTGTGTGCATGTACCGAGGGGGACGTTTTAAAGAGAATCCCAGAGAAGGTCATGCTTATTCTCAAGGAAGGGAGCAATCGCGGTAGAATCTCAGACAGCAGGTATTTTCAGCCTGAAGACTCACAGGATGCCTGGGGGGTCAGTGAACAGAGGTGAGGATAGACACTGTTTCAAAGGCCCAGGCCTGGGCACTCAAGATTCTTGAGTAAGAGAGAATCAGGCTGGTGTATCTCACAGGCTCCTAAATATCCAGTAAATGTCCCCCCAAGACTAGCTGGAACCCATCTCCAACAAGGCTGGGGAAGAACCGCCTTCCTCCATCGGAGGAAAAAGCTCTCTACCTCTCCCACATGAAGCAGTACCAAGGGCCTGAGAGAGGAAGGCAAATGGGTTCCCAAGCTCCAACTTCAGGTCCCAGGGGCAAACTCTGTCCCTACTTCCAGCCACAGGATCTTCTGCATGACTATCTCCCACCCCTAGAGGGGGTTCCAGGGGGCGAGGCAGGGCCTGCGGGTCTCTGGGACCCTGCCCAGGGAGGGCCTGAGTGCACTGCGGCAGACAGAGAAGCTTGGGTTACATTCATTCATTCGACACAGAACACCTACCATGTGTCAAGCACTGTTCTAGCCCTGGGCCCTCGTGTGGCTTGCAATGCAGTGGGGGAGGTGGTGGGAGAGAGAGACAGTAAGTAAGTATAAAACACAGCAGTGGCGATGAGTGCTCTGGAGAGAAATAAAGCAGGGAAGGAAAAGAGAGAATGAGGTTGAGATGGGGGAAGGGTGCAATTTTAAATAGGCGGTCAGCAGGGGACTCACTGAAAAGGTGATATGTGAATAAAGCCCCTAAGGAGGTGAGCGAGTGGGCCTTGCACTTATTAAGGGGAAATGCCTTCCTGGTAGAAGGAGCAGCAAGTGCAAAGGCCCTGAGGTGGGGGGTGTGCCTGGCAGGGTTGAGGAACGGCAAGGAGACAAGTGTGGCTGGAGTGAACAAAGAGGCAAGGGGTGAGAAATAAGGTCAGAGAGCCACAGGGGCCGGATCGTGTAGGGTTTCATGGGCCACCGTGGGGGATGGACCCACATCTAGGGGGACCTGAATTTATGCAATTTAAGGGGCCGTCCTTTAAAAAAATCAAAATTACCAATAAAATTTTGACTCAGGGCTTTGGAAGGTGCCTGGGGCGAGTGAGGGGCCTGGACAGTACATCCACCTCTGGTCAGAGGGAGAATTTTGGCTTTTGTCCAGAGTGAGAGGGAGTCATAGGAGGGTTTTGAGCAGAGGAGTGACCTGACCCAATTAAATCTGTCTGGCTGCAAAGTGGAAGATGAACTGGGCACAGAGGGTGGACAGGAGAGAAATTAGAATAGCAATGTGCAATGTGGAGCAGGTAACTGTGGCCAAGGACTGGGCAGGGAGCAGATTCCTAATGTAGAACCAACCAGATGTGCTCATGGGTAGGATGAGAGGTATGAGAGAAGGCAGACAGGATGTGGGCCCCGAGGTTTCAGGCCTAATCCAGTTATCCCTAACTGAAGTGGGGAAGGAGGGCTCTTAGTGACGGGACCTCATACCTCTCCTGCTTCACAGACAGAGAAGACAACAGAGGTGGAGTAGCTTGCCCAAGGTCACAGAGCCTGGATTCAAAGCCAGGTTTACCAACTCCAAAGTGGCTATCAAACACACTAGGGAAGCAAGGTTTGGGGGACCCCAGTAGCATGTCGGGTAGGAGAGGCAGTTCCTGCACGTGAGGCACGTTCCAGTGACCACAGGGCCCCTGGGACCACATCACACCTACCCCCAAAAAAACCTACAAAGAAAGTTCTCGGCACCCTGCGCCATGCTCCTCCGATTCCTTCCTAAACCTGTTTCTGCCCCACCGGCCGGGAGAGCTCAGCTGCAGTCTTGGGGAAATGTTTTTGGCATCGCTCAAGTTTTCTTAATTTACTGACGAGGTCATCACTGCCTCGATCCATTGTACACATTTTCTAAAGGAGTTTCTGCAGGAAGATGCAAAGCAGGCTTCTCTGGCTTCGAGCAAACCTGGGATTCCCGGGATTCCATCTTCCAACAGATTTAGCCCCTAAATACAATTCACTGCCTTTAAACTGATAGGCATTGATGGTCCCAGATGCACCACTCAACAGGTTGGAGTCAAATGAGCCCCCGCCGTCATGGTAGTCCATATGGCTTGGACCAGTATTTGTGTTATCATCACTGTAGGGATTGGAAAGGCCTCAGCCCATCATTTGGGATGTTCCACTCGACTGTAGTTTACCTAGAACGGCTCCTGCCACTCTGTGCATCCAGTCCTCTGGAGCACGGGTGGGGACAAGCGACACATCAGGGAAGCCCTGACTTGTGCATCTTTTACCCACTTGAGGCTTTGTTCTTTTCCAAACCGCACCCCTTCAACGCCAGGAACGGAACCCCGCAGGCCACGCTGAACAGCCCTTGTCCCCTCCAGTTCTCCCCCAACCCTCTACTCCTGGCAAAACCTGCCAGCACGAGCAGATATTTGATCTGTCCTAGCAGCTGTGACGTTACATTGCCCAGATGTTCCGCTCAGCGGATCGAAGGCTCGGGTTACAGCTAATCAGGACGGCTCTATAGCCTACAGACCCCATTCCCACCCCACCCTCCACCTCCAAGGGACAGTTAGGATCCAGGGCCCACCTGGCCAACTGAGATGGAGTGAGTAGGACCTGTGTGGGGTCGGGGGGCTCACAGAAATGATGCCTTCAGAGTCTTCACACCAGTGGGGCCTAGAAGGCACGTACTCTCCAAGCCCCCGAGGGCCGTTCACACCAGGCAATGCCTCCCCCAGTCCTCAAGGACCTGTATCTCCTTGCCCCCTAGGGCCCACTTCCTTTCCTTGTCACTAGTTGAATAGAGTCTGGACAGAGCCTGCAAACATGCCACAGGAAAAAACGGAACACACGGTGGTCACTAGGAGCTTCTAGGCCACCAGAACATGCCTGATTTCTCCCCACATACACTGGGGCTCGCTTTACTGCTAAGGGGGGGGAAGAGAGGTTACAAATTCAGCATTAAAAAAATTTTTTTCCTGCTACCTGAATAAGGTGAGGCCCAGAGACATAATATTGAGAAGGGGGAGGTATTGGAAGCCCACATCCTGTCCACGGAAATACAACAAAGCCCTCACCCTTTCTTGTATGAAAGAGCTCTCTTGTCTGTGCACTTGACCTTGCAAGATATGTGCTGAGATCTGGTCACTGCAGGTGATTCGATCCCAAGACCCAAATCAGGCCGTAGCCAACTTTGGACTTGAACCCAGCCTAACCAGGGGACTTCGGGGGCTCTTCAGCAGGACTGTGTGGGCTGCTACATGTATGACAGTGGGGGCCACCAGAGCCGGGCCAGAAAATGGCACCGAGAATGGCGAGCAGCTGCCAGACACCCTCCTTTCCTGTAAGAGTGGCCAGAAGCAGAGATTTACTGGGCTCCCATTCCTAAGGCAGAACTGGAGGGGCCCTGGGGATCATCCAGTCCAACCCTCTCACTTCACAGGCAGGGGGACTGAGGCCTGGAGAGGGGACGGTCACCTCAGTGTGGATTTCTCCTGTCGTCGGGAAGCCACCTCCCAACAGACGGTCAGGGCTGAAAGGGGGTCCCTCCAAGGTCGCCCAACACCCACACTTGGCTGATGAGGACCGCAGAGATCCCGGAATTCCCCAAGGCATGAGGAACAGAATGGGCAGCCTTTCGAAGGGCTCTCAATCCTCGGAAATGCCAAGAAACCTCATCCTCCAAGGGCAGTGGTTTCCAAATTTTTGTATTTTTAGCAGCAGAAGCCATCCTCCAAACAAACCTTAGGCAAAACCTCAAGCTGCAAACGGATCAGGGAACCGCTCTCCCACGTGCCGCCTGGGCCTGGCCCCGGGACGCCCCCCTCCAGCACCCACCCAAGGCTCCTTCCGCAGGGCCCTCCGTGGAGCTCAGTCTGCAACCCCAGGCTCTCGGGGGCCTTGGAGCCCTGCAGCTGAAGCAGCCACACAGGGTGGGCTCTTACTTAAGACCCCTGGAGGGTGTGGCTGGCCTCTGAGACCTGGACAACTTCGTTCTCCACCAGGGCCTGGCCCCCATCCCCATTGAGCTGCCTCATGCGCAGGTTAATGGAGCCGTAGGTCTTCCTGGAGCCCCTGCCGGGGACGAAGGTGGGCCGGCGGTACAGCTCGCCCTTGCACAGGGAGACCGTCAGCAGCACTGACAGAAGCATGCCGCCCACGGTGAGCAGCCCCAGGCCCGCAATGATGCACTTGTCCAGGTGGGAGCCCAGGCGGGCATAGTACATCTCTAGCCGCTCCATCTCCCGCGCTGTCACTGTGTCAGGGTTGACTCGGGCCTCACGTGGGATGGCGTATGCTGTCACCACCAGGAGGATCCCACTCACCAGAAAAACGAGAGCAGAAACAAAGCCATAATCCACCGGGCGGCTCACGGGCTCTAGGCCTGGCCCCTCTTCTGAACGCAGGGATAGATCGTCCCGCTGGGATCGGGGCCGTGAGGGGAACCCCCCTCCGGGGGTGCTGGGGGATCTGCCCAGTCTGGTGTCCCCTGGGTTCTGGAAATGAGTCTCGCACTCCTCTGAGGAAAAGCAGACATTCTCCACACCCTCCCTGGGCAGAGCCGCCGGGCCCAGAGGAGCTGGTCTCCTTGGGATCTGGGGGCCATTGCGCAGTGTCTTCAGTTCCAGGCCGGGGGGAGATGCCATTGGGAAGGAAGGCCCCCGCTCATCCCTTGGCCTCTTGGCAGCTAGAAGAGAAAAGAGAAAGTCAGTCGAATTTAACAAACCTCTACCAGGAGCCTGCTGGCACCAGACCTCAGTTGTGTGAGGGCGGCCAGGCACAGTTCCCACCTAGGGGAGCCTGCCAGACGGAGGTGGGGATAGATGGGGAATCAGACAACGACAGAGTGGTGCCATCCAATCCAGGCCAGGACCCTGCTTCACCACCGGCTGGCGCGCGGCTTTGGGCAATTTACTTATCCTCTCTGGCCTCAGTTTCCCTGTCTATTAAGTGACAATAACACTACTCCTCCCTACTTAATGGGACTGGCATAGGGATTGAGATCATCCATATAAAGGACTCAGAACAGTAGGTGCTCAGTAAGTTATCATTCAGACAGTGGCTATCAGGTTCAAATCCCAGCTTCACCACTCGAACTTGGACGAGTGAGGTGACCCCTCCAGACTCAATGTTCTCATCTGTTAAATGGGAATAAGTGAAATGCCTCCCTCCTAGGGTTGATGCGGGGATTTCATAAAATAATGTGAGGCCCCAGCCAGTTCAATTAATGGACACTGTCATGATGAAATGAGGGTGACTGCGGGCACGGGGAGGGGCAGAGATGATGACGATGGTGTGGGGACAAAGAGGAGAAAGTCAAGGAAGTTTCTAGGGGTTGGTGGCATTTGAACCAGACCTCAAAGGATGAGTGGGAAATCCCCCAGCTGTGGGGGGTGGGGGGTGAGGGCATTCTAGAGAGGGGTGCCTCAGAGGTCAGCTGGGACCAGCTTTCAAAGGACTCTGGAGGCCAGGCCAAGGAGCCAGGGAGGCGAGGTGTGGGCACAGAGAGTGCTGATCTGCCTAGATTTCAGGAAGCTCTCTCGGGCTCCTTCCTCCATGGAAGACAGAATTGGAAGGAGGAGAGCGGAGGTCAGGGGTCCAGGGAGGGATCTGCTGTGGTCAGGGGTGGAGGGATGGTGGCTGAGAGGGCAAAGAGGAAGGAGCCCATTTGAGAGCCATGACTGAGGTCAAAGCCGAATGCCTTTATGGAAGTAGAAGATGGGGGGGACCTGGATGGGAACCACAGAAGGGGAGCTGAGGGGGCGGGGGGAAGGGGTCAGTGTCTGCTCAAAGAGGAGATACCCCACCCAAGTATCTGAACACACCCGCCCACACCCAGACGGCACGCGTGCATTCCCGTCAGAGAATGCCAGCTTCAGCCAATGGACCATATTTGGCTCGTCAAAGTTTTGCTTTTTTGTTGTTTCTGGTCTGTTCACTTATTTTTGAAGTAGTTGCCAATATATAAAAAGCAAAAGATTTTACATTTTAAACTCTGGATTCCTGGCTTCGCTTGCAAAATGGAAGAATCTGGCCAACGTAGGCCCTCATTCCCTCACAACCACCCTCAGCCGGAGTGAATGATGCGTCCTCCCTTTGGTAGATCCAGTGCTGCCCCCGCTCCCAGCTCCCACCTGGCATCTAGAACTCCTGACCCTTCCCTGTACACACCCACATCCTGGGGGCACATATACCCAGGGCCCAGGCACATAGACCCAAGTCCCCGTGCTGTACAGAGACCCCCAGGTACAGAGTGGCTCGCACACCCTGGTATGTCTACACACACATATATACGATTCTAGATGTTTCTCTGCATTCCCACACCTGAGTGTATTCTCCCGTGCCCTGTGGTTCTGTGTGTGTGCGTGCATGCGTGTGTGTGTGTGTGTATGTGTGAGAGAGAGAGAGAGAGAGAAAGAATATGAGCAAATGAAGTGCAAATGAATGGAACGAACGAATGAATGAAACTCAGAGAGCCTCAGTGCAAGAAGGCACGTTGTTCAATCTTTCTGATCTTCCCTCCAACGTGGACTTTGCAGCAGATACCTCCTCTTAGCACACACAGGGCCTTTCATGTGAGTACAAAGCCTGTTTCCACTTACAACCCATTCCTACCACCACGTCCCTCTTTCCCGAGTTCCAATTTAATAAACGTTTGCTGAGCACCCGCCCACCCTATAGCAGGCACTTCACTCGGGAGTCTCTCCTGCAACCTTTACCAGCCCCATGAGCAGGAATTACTACCTCTGCTTTACAAACCGTGGCAGGACCCCTGGCATGCATGTGGGGGCCAGAAGTTGAATACAGTTTCCCTAAGAATTGTTATCACCTACAAACCTGCAAACCCGCATTCTCTGCACCCGTGGCATCATTCCACCCTCCCTCCCTGGCTCTTCCAGCCCCCACTGGTAGCTCTACTTTGTCCCACTGTTGAAGACCACAGGGAGCAGCTTGAGGGCAGGGATGTGTCTGAATTCCGTCCCGGTCCCAGCCCCCTGGCTCGGAACACAGCCAGCCCTCAGGAGGGGCTTGGCAACCGGCCCAGGCAGACAATCCCTCCCCCGACCCGGGGTAGTGGGCTACCTACTCAGAGCCAGGCTCTGCCCAGGCTGTCCCCACTTTCCAGTAAACGGAGAGGAGAGGTGTGGTGTGGTGTCCTGGCTGGCTTTTTTACTCTTGGCACCAAAAGCATTTTCCTGAGTGCCACCACAAACAGGGAGGGGCGGTGACCATTCCTGCCCAGTGGGTGTCCAGATGTGCAGCCCCCCCCCCTCCACCCAGATCTTCAGCACCCTCCACAGAACTCAGCTCCTGGAGTGGCCCAAAGAACTCCCCTCCCAGACCAGCATGCTGATACCTCCATATCCCAAGGAAACTCGGGGCACCCAAATTCTGGGAGCAGGGCTTTCTTTCACCTAGCAGGAACCCAAAACTTTTTCTTAGGATGCCAGAGTTAGGAAAAGGGCAGAGAAAAAAGAGGCTCCCTGTCACCCAGAGTTGTGATGTCTCCACACAGATTCAGAGATCCCCACCAGTCCCCACCAGTTATACAAGGGCATGCCCAATTACCCACCCCCCAACACACACACACACACACACACAAGCAGAAACAAACTGACAGACTCTGGTGTCCACTGCTCACCGCACCGCGGCCCCGCCAACCTTACCAGTAACACTCCAATCACTCAAATTTCATCTGCAGTCCAACAGGACCCGAAAGACACAGCCCAGATCCACACACACACCCCCAGGAACCTTTACCACAGGCAGCGCCCACAGACATGGGAAGCGGCGCAGTGTGACCCCAAGATCCGCAGACCACACTGGGACTCACACCCCGGGAAGGGGCAGAGCTGGTTACGCACACACAGTGAACTATCCCCCGGACGGCACCCACCGAGACCCGCCTGGGGCCCAGCACCCCACCCCACCCCACCCCGCGCGCACTAACACGCGGGGAGACGCACAGCGGCCGTGGGTGAAGCTTCACAAAACCCCATCGATACACACACTCACGAGTTGTACACAAAGCCTCGGGGCGCGCACAAGCGCACACGCCGGTCCACGCTGTTATACCCAAAGTTCCGCGCAGAAAACCCCAGCACCCCGGCTGCCCGCCGCATCCCGCGCGCCCGCCTGCCCGCACCTCACACCCCCTGCTCCTGCCCTTGACCACAAACGCGGCGGGGCCGGGCCAGGCCGGAGTCGGCCGGGCGGCGCGGGTAGCAGGGCGGCCGGGCGGCCCAGGGAGGCCCGGCTCCCCGCGGACCCGCGTGCGCCCGGGCTCCCCTCGCCGCGTGTCCTTCGGCCGGGCCGCGAGGTCAGGCTAGCTCTCCCTCGCCGGCCCTCCGCGCCCGGGGCCCTCGGCCTCCCGCCGGCCCCCGCCGTTCCCGGTCCGCGTGCGTACCTGCGCCGGGCCTCCCTCCCCGTCTCCGCGCGCGGGAGACGCGGGCACCGGCGGCCCGCGGGCCGGGGCAGGGGCGCGTCCTCCCCAGGCGCCCGCCCGCCTCCCCGCACCGGCGCCCGCCCGCCCGCCGGTGTCTCCGCTGCGGCGCAGCCCGGGCGCGCGCGGGCCCGGCCGCCACCGCCTCGCCCTCCCCGGCTCCCGCCCCCTCCCCGGCCCGGCCCGGCCCGGCCCGGAACCGCCGCGGAGGCGCACGTACCTGCTGGCGCCGCGCGGGGCTCTACGGCCGCGGCCGCTGGGGCCTCCGGGGAGGGAGAGGCAAGGGCGGGAGCCGGGGAGCTCCGAGCGCCGCCGATCGAGCTCCGCCCGCGGCCGGCGAGGGCGCCCGGAGAGTTAGCGCGGGGAGGGACCGGGAGGCGGGTAGCAGGATGGGAGTCGGGCCGGCGGGGGATCGGGCTCCTGCCCCTCCCCGTCCCCGGAGGGCTTATCTGTTTCGCCGGCGCGCCAGCTCGGGGAACTGAAGCTCTGAGCCCGCGGGGCCGGGTGCAGGGGCGGGGCGCGGGGCGCGGGGGTGGGTGCTGAGGGAGACCCCTCCCCCGCCGCCTGCCTCCCCCCCACCCCCAAATCCCCCGCTGGGACGTCCCTGCCGCACGGAGCCGCGTCGCTCCCTCCGCCCCCACCCCGTCCAACACGCACAGCCCCCAGGTGGGACCCGAGTCCTCTCCCAGGTCCCTAGGTCGGGACAGTCTTCCCAGGCGCGAGCGGCTCCGTGGCTCAAGGGCGCCACCTGAAGGCTAAAAGGAAGCTTCTGACGAACACACCCCCCCCTTTCCCGGCTCTTCTTTGTGGGACAGTGGGGTGCACGGTCCAAGGTGGGTGTTCTCTTGGGGAATTGCCAATGGCTGCACACACGGTCGCCCTCCCAGGCCCAGCCGCAGTGCCTCCTGCCCTGGGAAGCCGACCTCGGGCCCCTTCAGCTGGGCTGGCCCTTTGCCAGCATTATCGCTCTGATCTCTGGAAGTTATTTTCTTTGCGGGTCAGCCTCCCTCATCCGACTGGCCGCTCCTGGAGGCCAGGGCCGGGGTCTGATCCCCTAGAGCCCAGCGCAGTGTGTGAGGGTGAGAGGTGGGTAGGCGCTCACTGTTTCCTTTACAGGGCCCAGATTAAGGTGGAATCAAGGGAGGTGCGCAGAGCACAAAAGTGTAGGTGATACTCCGTCTGTGGAGGCCCAGGACAAGCCCCGAGACAAGTTCGGTCCGAAGATCGTGGGGTTTCCACGAAGACTTGGAGGCCAGCTCACTTGCATGTCCTCAGCTAGGTCATCCCATCTCTGTGAGCCTCAGCGTTCACCTCTGTCAGTGGGATCATGAAAATGCGGGCTCTGGGGGCTTTCAGAAGACCAGCCGGGGTCGACCACCTGGAAGGATAGGCAGAAGAGGATGCCCTGTCCTGGCTCCTCAGCCACCTCATGGGAGAACCTGACACGTCCTGCTCCAAAGGCCTGTGCAGTCCTTGTCAACCAGGATGGCCTGGAAATTGGGTGCCTTTGCCTTTGAGGCCGGAGTGGTGGAGCCCTGGGTGGGACCTCAGGGGTGGGGAGGCTTCAGTCTCTCCCTGCCTTCAGAGGCTGGCCTCTTGCGCAGGACCTTGAGGGGAAGCTAGCTGTGACCCCAGACTCCCGTGTGCCTCCCGGCACTGCCACTCCCAGCCGTGTGTCACCTGGAGCCCAGCTTCTCATCTGTGAAATGGGCGTAGTAGGGGCTCTGGTGATTGGCTGAGACCTCCGTGTAAAGCGCTCCCTGTTCCCCCCCTGCGTGTGCAGTCCTGCTTCAGAGCCTTTGCCTTTGCTGTTCCTTCTTCCCAGAACACTCTTCTACCTGATATCCCCAGGGCTCGCTCCCTTCCTTCCTTCAAGTCCTTGGTCAGATGCCCCCTTCTTGGAGACACCTTCCCAGACCATCCTTTTAAAACTAGCAGTGCCCCAACACCCTTTACTCCTTAACTCTGAATTTTTCTCCATAGCATTTATCAACTCCTGACATGAGCTTATTTGTTTTTGTCACACCCACTAAAAAGTAGGTACCAAGAGGCAGAAGCTTTGCCTGTCTCCCTCCCTCCTGTATCCCCAGAGACTAGAAAAGGGGCCAACCCATAGAAGGCCCTTGATGAATATTTATTAAATGAAGAATGAAGCGGGGTGCCTGGGTGGCTCAGTCGTTAAGCGTGAAGGGTCGTGATCCCAGGGTCCTGGGATCGAGTCCCACATCAGGCTCCCTGCTCCGCGGGGAAGCCTGCTTCTCCCCTCCTTCTCCCCCTGCTTGTGTTCCCTCTCTTGCTATGTCTCTCTGTGTCAAATAAATAAATAAAATCTTTAAAAAATATAAAAAATAAAAAAAAATAAATGAAGAATGAAGCAAATGAGCCAATATTTACTGAGCACCTGTCATATACTGGTTAACTAGATAAACTGCAGCCCTACCCTCAAGAAGCTCGTATTCTAGTGGGAGGAAAGGGTGAGAAAATGTAACACTGCTTCCGTAGTAAAGGCCATAAAGCAAAAGTACGCAGTGCTGTGCCGAGCCTGCGGCAGGGTGCTGACCTAGTCCGGGAGATGGGGATGGCTCCCCTGCCCAAGCAAGGATTGGGCTGAGGTCCAAAGGATGAATAGGGGCAGCCAGATAAAGAGGGCAGGGAAAAGAGGTCTGCCCAGCAGAGGGACTGGCATGCGCAAAGGCCCTGGGAGAGAAGGAGGACGGTGTGAGGCTTGGCAGAGGTGGCTGCCGTGGGGGAACATGGGAGGAGATGAGGCTGGACTGTCGGCAAGCCAGGTGGCTGCAGAGCTCGCCACGGAGTTTGTTCTTACCCACAGAGCCGTGGGAGCCACTGATGCGTGTGAGTAAAGGGTTAACAAAACCTCTTCCACTTTTGCATGAGAATTTGACCTTTGGTTAACTATCTAGCTCTGTTTCCTTGGAAACAGATAACATATGTCCACTATGTTACTAGGCAACATTGCTATAATAAAAATGACCCCTGAGGAAGAGGCTGGGATGATCCATATGGTAATTGATTAGAAGCGGAGATTTCAGGGGCGCCTGGGTGGCTCAGACGGTTAAGTGGTTAAGCGGTTAAGCGTCTGACTTCAGCTCAGGTCAAGATCTCAGCGTCCTGGGATCTAGCCCTCCACTGGGCTCCCTGCTCAGCAAGGAGTCTCCTTGTTCCTCTCCCTCCCCTTCTGGCCCTCCCCCTGCTTGTGCTCTCTCTATCTCTCTCTCTCTCTCTCTCAGATAAATAAAATCTTTAAAAAAAAAAAACTGGAGATATCAGTATGAACTCATGTTTAGCTTAATTTAGACGCAGAAGATTATATACAGAAATATTTATAGATATGTGTATGCACACAGGTTGGTATACACATGTACATTTCCTTTCTCTATCAGCTCAGAGAGCCTAGACAATGATACTGGACAGCAGCAAGCACACATGGTACCCAAACTTGGTTTCTAATACCATCCACCAACACAAGGAACCAGGGAGAAACAGCTGATTCTGGAACTGGAGCAGGACATATACAAGATGAGCATGGAGTGCCTTAGGGTGCCAGGAAGGAAGTCCTTCAATACACTCACACACACACACACACACACACACAAGGATGGGGATGTGTCAAAGGACATTGGGAGCACCTGAAAGAGCTTTCAAAGGCTGGACAATTTTGGTCAAATAAAATAATATTGGATTGTAACCTAAAGTATGACAAATGAAAAAGAGGGGGAGAAAAGATAAATCTCCCATGCATAATTCCAAATATATAGGATACTCCATCCCCAAGGAGGGGGGAACATAACTCCCCAGTTCTTAAGGGTGGGCTGAGCATAGTGACCTGCAGGGAGCACAGTATGAAGAGGGAGTAACTTTACAGGAGAGATACGTAACGAACCTGACTACCTCAGCCATGTGGTCAAGGTCAACATCAACAGTCAGATTATGTTGATAGCATATACCCTTGATAGGCTATCATGAGGATGGCACTTTACCTCTGTGGTCTTCCTCCCAAAACCCACAACCCCAGTCTAATTATGAGATAAGCATCAGACAAATCCCAATTGAGGGACATTATACAAAATGCCTGACCAGTTCTCCTCAAGACTGTCAAAGTCATCAAAAACAGGGCAAGTCTGAGAAACTGTCACAGCCAAGAGGAGCCTAAAGGGACGTGACAACTAAATGTAGCGTGGTATCCTCAGTGGGATCCTGGACAGAAAAAGGACATTAGGTAAATACTAAGGAACTCTGAATAAGTACGGGCTTTAGCTAATAATAATGTATCCATTTTGGTTCATTAATTGTAGCAAATGTCCTGTACTAACGTAAGATGTTAATAATAGGGGAAACTGGGTGCCAGGTCTATGGGAACTCTCTGTACTACCTTCCCAATTTTTCTATAAATCTAGAATTGTTCTAAAAAATAATTTTTTAAAAAACAAGGATCGAGAGATTGGTAACCTACATCTGGACTGGAAGGAACAATAAATACCTGGTGGAAAATCATACTGTGGGCTTCCTGAGCACAGTGACTCATGTAACTGGGCAGGTCCAAAGATGTGGGCTCCCATGGGGCATGAAGCTTTTAAGCTAGGATGGCTCCTGCACCCACTGATGGGATCCCATTTCCTTGAACCCGTGCTTTACTCTGCTCACCGGCAGGAAGGACCCCCCACTGAGAGAAGTGCCTGGTGCTAGCATTCATTGAGGGCCATGCTAGCAGGCTAAGGTTCCTGTCATATAGCCTTCAGACTAGGTCAACGCCAAGTGTGGCTTATGGTCATCTGTTGAGTGTGAGTGTATAGTTGAACCTGAGGAGACCCCTCGTGCACACTGCAGTGGGTGATAAGCAGGGGAGTGATGTGATCAGATTTGCATTTTGCAAACGTTCTCTCTTCGGCTGCTCCCAGGTGCAAGGGGGCAAGAGAAAAAACAGAGACCATTTGGGAGGTTGTTGTGGTCATGTTGGCATGCCACAAGTCTTCAATCAATTTCCTGCTTATGCGTCTATCTAGTGATGTCTGAGTCTGTGTGTGTGAGAGAGAGCGAGCTCACGCTCTTCTAGAACATTAGAGCATCACTTAATCCAGAATTTTCCAAGAGTAATGATGCATAACATGATTTTAGTTGTTATACAGATAAATGTGCTTTGGTTATATATTGCTGCATAACACACCACCCCAAAACTTAACAGCCTAAAAGAAAATCACCATTTATTTGCTCAGTTTGCAGTTTGGGCTGGGCTCGCCGGGGACAGCTCAGTTCTGCTCTACACGGCGTCAGCTGGAGTGGTCCATAGTGCTGGGAATTGGCTGGAAAAGCTCAGACATGGCCATG